TTATGGTCGGTCGTTTGTGGATGGTATGCAGGTATTGACCACCGTTCGACCGTCTGCCCACCTGGCTGTGTGGCAGCGACTCTGCAGAGGTGGGTGAGGCTGTAAATGGAGAAATTGCCATCGAAACGTAAAACGGGTTTTCTTTTGATGAGGTAATGCACAAACAGTCTTAAAGCAAAACAAAATGTACAAAACCTACTTAAACGTCGTAAGGTTACGTTAACGTATCGTAATCGTAAAATTATTTTGGAATTTTATCGTAATTTTCGTGATGGTAAAATTTGACGTGCGAAGCTTGGCCATCAATGCTTGGATGATCTAAACATGCAGGATCGGCTTCAGAGCCATGCGCCGCTGTATAGCCAAGCTTCGTCGAACGCAGGATGGAGGGCGCTGTTGACTTTCCAGCTGGGCAAGACCATGGTGTGCGACACGTATCTCCGAACTTGTCACAGCTCATGACGCGATCGGATCGCATCTCCACCGTGTGCTGGTGCTCCACGCGAGCGGCAGGCCGTGTCAGGCGCACCCCGGCATGCCGGAGGTGCCGGAGGAAGCGTCGTCATCTCAGAGGGAGCGTTGTCCCAGACAGGTGTTGGTTCCCTGAGCAAACTCAGAAGGCGGCCTGGCGTGATCTCCCGTCACGTTCGCCGGCAATGTCATCCCAACTGACAGCCGACAAACAGACTGACAAGCTGACAACAAACGGCTGACAGCAAACGACAGGAGCTGTCTGCCCTGCTGTCGGCTTGTGCCGGGCGTGTCAGCTTAGGCTAACCGGCTTGTCTCCTGCCGCTTCAGATCTGGCCATGGTGGAGGCCCCAATGGGCACCGGGATCGAGTACGACTACCTGATCAAGTTCCTAGCGCTGGGCGACTCGGGCGTCGGCAAGACGTCCTTCCTCTGGCAGTACACCGACGGCGTCTTCCACTCGCGCTTCATCTCCACTGTCGGCATTGACTTCAGAGAGAAGCGTCTGGTGAGTGACGGTGCGGGGGGCTACGGCTTCTGGTGCTTCGAGGGAGGGGACAGAGTCAGTACCAGGGCAGCATTGTTTGATACTTTCAAAGAGGGGGCAGAATCAGTACCACGGCAGTAGCGTCTGGTGCTGCAAGGGAGGGGACAGAGTCGGTACGAGGGCAGCAGCGTCTGGGCTTGGAGGGAGGCGACAGAGTCTGGTAAATGGGCTCGAGAGGAAGAGAAAGATGCGAAGAGAAAGAAAAATAGAAAGAGAAATGGGAGACATAGACAGACAGTTGGCGAGACAGCTGACGATGGCGTCGATGGGTTGGAAAGCTGACAGTGCCGGTGTTGTGGTTGACGTTTCATAAGAAACCACCTAATTCGTGTTGTTTTTCACCAAACGTATACACCAACTTTAATTTGAAGCAGTTGAAAATATGAGTTAAAGTGTGTTCCGTTCTGCTTATCCCCTGATTTTGGATTATTGAAGAGTTTGCCCGATCTCCTGGCTGCCGTTTGGCTTTGTGTAAGCATGTAGTGTCGCACAATGCTGTTGAATTATGCGACTGGGCTATCGACGCGGCGGTGACCGGTCAGCGGGCTGCCCCGGCCCAGTGTGGTCTGCCTCGGCCCGGCTGGTGCTGGCTGCCCCGGCCCAGCTGGTACGGGCTACCCCGGCCCGGCTGGTGCTGGCTGCCCCGGCCCGGCTGGTGTGGTCTGCCTCGGCCCGGCTGGTGCTGGCTGCTCCGGCCCGGCTGGTGTGGTCTGCCTCGGCCCGGCTGGTGCTGGCTGCCCCGGCCCGGCTGGTGTGGTCTGCCTCGGCCCAGCTGGTACGGGCTACCCCGGCCCGGCTGGTGCGGGCTGCTCTGGCCCGGCTGGTGCGGGCTGCCCCGGCCCGGCTGGTGCGGGCTGCTCTGGCCCGGCTGGTGCGGGCTGCCCCGGCCCGGCTGGTGCGGGCTGGCCCGGCCCGGCTGGTGTGGTCTGCCTCGGCCCGGCTGATGTGGGCTGGCCCGGCCCGGCTGGTGCGGGCTGCCCCGGCCCGGCTGGTGCGGGCTGCCCCGGCCCGGCTGGTGCGGGCTGCTCTGGCCCGGCTGGTTCGGGCTGCCCCGGCCCGGCTGGTGCGGGCTGCTCCGGCCCGGCTGGTGCGGGCTGCCCCGGCCCGGCTGGTGCGGGCTGCCCCGGCCCGGCTGATGTGGGCTACCCCGGCCCGGCTGGTGCGGGCTGCCCCGGCCCGGCTGGTGCGGGCTGCCCCGGCCCGGCTGGTGCGGGCTGCTCCGGCCCAGCTGGTGCGGTGTGTGCCGGCCGGGCGCCGCGCGGCCGCCTCCTGACGCGCCGGTCCCCGTTTCACGGACCCGCTGCAGCTGTACCGGCCGAGGGATGCCGAGGGCGCGCCGCAGGGCAAGAGTCAGCGCATCCACCTGCAGCTGTGGGACACGGCCGGC